GGGAGCTGGCTTTATGGCTCCCCTCCTGACCCACTTGCACCTTGCTTAAAGTCTTTGGCAACATCTGGAGACTCATTGCACCATGTGAAATTTTAGGAGAGAGCAGGATTGAGGGAGGAAACCTGTTGATTGCTGCTTGAATGGACCTGGAATATTTCCAGGGATGGGGCATCTACAACTTCTTTGGGCAACTTCCTCCAGTATTTCATCATCTCACTGTAAAACAATTTTCCTTATATATGTAGTCTGAATCTATTATCTTTTGGTTTAAAAACATTACCCCTTATCCCATGGCTCCAGGTCCTATTAAAAAGCCTGTCCCCATCTTTCTTTAAGCCCGATTTAGGTACTGAAAGGCTGCACTGAGGTCTCCCTGGAGCCTCTTCTTCTCCAGGCTGAACAACCTGAACTCTTTCAGTCTTTCCCATTAGGGAGGGTGTTCCAGGCCTCTGATTGCTTTTGTGGCCCTGTCCCCAGGTCCATGTCTTCCTTGAACTGAGGACTCCAGAGCTGGATCTACTACTCCACATGGGCTCTCATCAGAGCAGAGGGGCAGAATCACCCCCCTCAACCTGCTGGCCATGCTGGCCAGTACCCCCAAGTCCCTCTGGGCAGGGCTGCTCTCAATCCCTTCATCCCCCAGCCTGGGCTGATACTGGAGGTTGCCCCAAACCAGGGTGCAGCACCTGCACTTGGCCTTGTTGAACCTCATGAGGTTTCCATGGGCCCACTTTCAGAGCTTGTCCAGATCCCTGTGCAGGGCATCCCATCCCTCAGGTGTGGTGACTGCACCACTCAGCTTACTGGCATCTGCAAACCTGGTGAGGGTGTGCTGGATCCCACTCTGTCACTTAGAGACACTAAACAGTCCTGGGCACAGTTGAGCAGAGACTGAAAACCTGTGGCAGTGTGAGGCTGACAGGTTAAAATCATAGTCTCACTCTCTTTGCTTTGCTTTTAGTCATTTATAGTCATGCAAAATGAATATACAAAAGCAAACAAATCAGAGACTCCATCACAAGGCTTTTTTTCCTCCTAGCTATAACAGCCAGCTTGGCCCTGAACTTTGGTTCACCCTCCAGTCAGAAGAGATGTTTCTCTTAGATTTTTGGAAGCGGTACAATTTTTATAAAACCTGCACCACTGCATCAAATTAACCAAACAGTAGCTGCAAAGAGTGCACTGGGTGAGCAGACAAGGGATTTCTCTCCACGCATGTTGCTGAAGGAAAAGACAAGCAGGGCCAGACAGGTTTGATTAACACTTTTCTCTGGTGATCTCTGTATGTACATGAAATTAAAAAGTTGAGCATTTGGAGTGTATTCACCAATCGATCACCCTTAGCTGATTTCAGTGCTGTGGTGTGAAGCAAAGCTAATAACTCACAAGAACATGCCACTCTTGTAGTAATGTTTGATCTTAGTCATGTTGGTCACTGAAGCTGCTGGGACTGATGTCACCTGTCACATGCATGCCTTTGCACACTTCTCTGTTGCAGAATGGGAGCAGTTGTCACATCCACACCCTGTTTTATATAGTGTATTTCACTAATACCTTCTAGCAGGGTTCTTAAAATTTTTATTTTGTGGGTCACTTAACAACATCTACTGAGGTTAATTCAAAGTGAGTTGTTTCATTAGGAGGATGGAGCAGGTATGCAGAATTTTGAAGACAGTGACAAGAGGCATTAATAGGGGAAAATAAGTGCAACCACTAAAGGACTTAGAAGACTAAATTAATGAAGAAGTTAATTAGTGCTGCATTTTGTGTGAGCTGAAGGCACTGATGTCTTGTGGTCATGAGTGTTAAATCGTGGTGGAAGAAGAGAAAGCAGTATTCAAAATAATAAGGGAGGTGGTGTGGGGTCTGTGGTGGCTGCAGCTCAGGGTGAGGTGCAGAGTGTGGGCTGGGTGTCTTCAGGTGAAAGCTGAGGCTGCTCAGAGAAAGGGTGTGAGGGATAACACAGTTAAGAGATCTGCCCCTGATGCCCAAGCCTTTTACAGATAATTGCCTGGAGTTCACCTGGTGTCATTAGAGTGAGACTGCTGCCTCTTCTCTTTCAGGGTCAGGGTTTTGGCAGGAGTCAGTGAAGGGTTACCAGCACTCCACTCAAAGTGGCAGGGACAGAGTTGTTATAACCTAAATGGTAGCGTGCCACCAGAATCAATACAAATTGAACCTCTGCTGGCGAGACTGCACAGTGCTTGCTTTCTTGTGTAGAGGAATCAATATGAATTGGCCACAGGATGGGAATATAGAGATGCAGCTGGGGAGAGAAAAAATAGATGTTAAGCAGAGGTGAACAGAGGTCACTAGGTCCACACCGTGATTTTAGGCTCAGTCATTAACAAAAAGTTTTGTGAAAGCTCTAATTTGCCTGTCCTTTGAGTCACCCTTTAGACACAATGCCCCAGTGATGCAATGCTTCCAAAGTTTATTCTTCTTGGTTCACACATCACTTTATTGTTAAACAGCTAAAATGTCAGCATGGGTCCCAGCATGCCCTTTCCATTCACTTCACACCAGAGATGGGCGAGAGTAGAGTTCAGAGTTCACCAGCCCTTCTCCTTTTGTTGATTTCCCCAGTCCCCATGCAGGACATCACTCCCTCATGTGAGCATGTCACCCAAGCTGCAGTTAGCCTGTTGGTGCCACACTGCTTTCTCAAGGGTTTCCCATTTAGGCTAGAGATTCTGACTGGGTTTCCTGATGTGGAAGACTTAATAAAAGAATGATTGTAATGGCTATTTGCTGAATGATTCTGTTTCTAGTTAGCTGTTGTTATTGTCATTAGAAAGAACAGCAACTACTGGAGAACTACATTTTACACTAAAGTGCCTTTAAAAAGTTGTCATTTCTATGATGTGTGCTACAAGATGATGGTAAAAAGAGGCGGGAGGAAAAGTATCCTTTATTGTAAGGGTTATGCAGGGTTACCTCAGCCTTCCTAAACATTTTCTGCATCTGTCTGAAATATATACACTGTGTGTTGATATTTATTTTTATTTAAAACAAACATTTAGAAATTCTACCTTAGATCCTGGCTTTATGAATTATTCCACTGTATTAAGGACTTAATTCTCTTAAGAATTGATGATTTCTCGCCTTCAGGAAAGGGGAAAGCAAGTGATTTCTAACCCTTTTCTTATCCAGATAGCAATGAGCTGCCTTTGGGCTTCAGTTGTCTAGTTTACGGTAAATATGCCAAATTCTCCTCTGTTAAATGCAGTACCATGGGCACCCTTGTTAAATCACAGTTATCTGACTTGTCACTGCTTCAGCATAATTTGTGTGCTGAGCTGTACCCAGTTTTTCTTTCACCATTTAATATGGTGCTCTGTGCACAGGCATTTTTACTCACTGACAGAAAACATAGAAAATATTTTAATCACTTTTGGGTTTCTGTTACTAAACTGTCTAGTTGTAATACAGGTGAGGAGAAAGGGTGGAGGCAGAAGTGTTTGGTAGCACAGGAAAAAATTAACAGTATATTGGGAATTCTGAGAACAGATCTGCTTCCATTGGACCATCTTTATTTGCTAGGGAAGGAAGATTCCTTTAAGGGGGGCAGAGTTCATATTGTGCAGGAAAGGGAGGGGAGTAGAAAACTGATTTTGGAGGTAGGGAAATCAAAAATTGGAAAGTTGTAACTCATCAAAGTTACTGAGCCAGATGGTGCAGGAGTTATTACCCTTGTGTTTTGTGCTCAGGTTCTTTCTTTCTAAAGCTTGCACCAGGTATGGTCAGTGTATTTATAGTTTGTGGAGGAAATGAAGAGAAATAATTAGACTCTAAGTTTGCAGTTTGTAAATTAACAGAATTAGAGGGTGGTTTGCAGGGGCGAACTGCTTAGGCTATGTGCAAAACCAGCTCATTTTACTTTTACTAATTTGTTCTTTAATTAATTGGTGCCCATGTCTCTTGATTTATGCTGAGACTGGCAAGATGCTTCAGGAAGGAAATTTGTTTTCATCTTGATTAATTCTCTGCTGGGCAGGCGTTTTAAAAAAACGTTAGCCAGCCATCTTTTGATGTAGTTTCAGTAGGTTGCAGTCAAAATCAAAGGGCAGACAGAGAGGGAGGCAGACAGATAAGGAGGTGGCACATGCAGAGACAAGTGAATTACTTGCACAGGGAGTTTGGGGCAAAGATGGTAAATGAGTCTTGCATCCTGAGTATTAATACTGTAATTGCCACAGTTTCAGTAAGATATTTCCTTCCCGAAAAAGTTGTGTGTGGCACATTTTCAACTCTTTACTGCCTGTGGGAGCTGTCAGATTTTAGGGAAGTGCTCCCCAGCGTACGGAGCTTGATGCCGATCAGTGCGTTCTGACAGGGGACAAATGACCTGGCCATACGCGGTGCTGAGTGATGATTCCGTGGGACGGAGCGAATTAGGAGCATCCCGGTGATGGATCTGCAGCGGAACAAACGAGCCTTCCGGCAAGGGGAGCACGGTGTGTCCTGACCCCGCTCCCCGCGGAGCATCCCCAGCGCTTTTGCGTACGAATCCTTCACTGCACGCACTTACTCCGCTCCTTTCGGCAGCGCCGCCTGTGCAGCGGGCAGCCCGCAAAGCCACCTGGCCCAGGTCGGGGCTCCGCGCCGCGCTCAGGGTTTGGGGGCGGGGGGGAGCGGCGGCCCGGGCGGGGCTGTGAGGGCGGGCCGTGGGCCGGGGCCGGGCCGGGCCGGGCCGGGGGGCGGGCAGCGCCATTGGCGCGGCGCTCGGAGGAGGGGCGGCCGCGCCGGGAATGGAGCGCCGGGGCCGGCGTTCCACAGGCGGCCGCCGCGGGAGCGGGATGCGGGGATGCGCCCAGTGAGCCCGGCGGCGTGGGGCGCAGCGATGCGGCCGGCGGGAAAGCGCCTCGGCAGCGGCTCGCCTGTCGGATAATCCCTGCCCCTGCCTGCCGGCCGCGGGTCTCGGCAGCGGCACTCTGTGTGTGTGTGGCATGCGGAGCCGGGGTTTTGTACGGCGTTTGCGGGCGGAGCGAGGTCACGGTTCCTTTTTTTGAAATTCTTTGCTCTGGGTACAGTAGATCTCTGTCTGATTTTTCCTTCCCTGGTAGCGGGGTGGCCCGGGAGGGACGATCGTGACAGTGACGGGAATGTTTACTTGTGCAGAAGTCTTTCTCATGTGGAAGCACGCTGCTCCCTAACTTCTGGCTAAGCAGACTTCAGTTCACCAACTTTGCTGCCGCACAGCACGCGTAACTCCTTGGCAGGATGGCAGAGGAAAGAACAGCTGGTGCAAAGCAATAGGGGATTCTTAGCGAGGAGAAGGAAGGAAGGAAGATCACCAACCTTTCACCCACGGCTGTCAGAGCAGCAGGAACGGGACAGCTGAAGCCACCATGCGCAGGTCCAGCACCGATGAGTCCACCTATCACAGGAGCCCTTCCCTGGACAGCAAGGATTACAGTTTCCCAAATGGCGCCTTCCGTCGATACAGCAGCATGTATGGTGGCCAGTTTGGGGCTGCCAGCAACTCTTTTTTTGGATTTCATACCAACCCTGGCCCGAAGGCCACCAAGGCTAAGTACACGACCCCCAAGGGAAACAAGTACGTTGTCTTTTACCTGGATCTCTCATTTATTTTTCTCCTAGAACTGAAGAGGTGCAGCATGGCTCACAACTGCCTGCAGTGTATCAAGTACCTAATGTTTGTTTTCAACCTTCTCTTCTGGGTGAGTACACGTTTGGAACCGTGAAACGATTTTTGTGTCTGTTTACTGAGATAGAAGGCGAACTTGTTGCTACTTTTAAACTTAGGAGTTGAACAAAGTGGTGCCTAGGCTACTGCTTTTGTGGCCTCATTAATTTGTGTAGATAGTCTGCAGAGGGTTTTCTTCATCCTCTCATTTCCTGGCCTCCAGCTGCATTTCAAAACTGTGGTAGAAGACAAAAGAGTTGTGTTTATAGAGGTCAGTTGCATGAATGCCTTCATCACTTTGTTCTGCTGAGAGCTGTATACTTGTTTGTGCCCTGATCTTTCATTCTTATGTGTTTGCCTCAAAAGTTATGCATAGTCCTAGAGAAATCACTGAGGCCATTCATGGTTGTGAGGTTCAGCACGTGCTTACGTCTGTTGCTTTATTGCAGATGGTATCATGCATACTTGGTACCTCAGCACATTAAAGCCTGTATCAGGAATTTCTAGGTAATCATTCTCTGTTGCTGTCAGTGGTGGGTCCTGGCATTGCCATTCCCTGTTGAAGATGTGGGTGGAGAGAGACCAGAGCACTCCTCTCTGCTTCTGGGGCTGCTACTCTGTGCCAGGAGCTTATGAAATCACTGTGAGGCGTGCGTGTGTCATCATCTTTTTAATAAATTAGGTGGCTGGGCACTTCACTCCCTTGTAATGGAGTGTAGGCTGTGGCTGAGACTAAAGAAGCGAGTGGGGGGGACCCACGTCACAAATGCTGTTAGTCCTGTGAAAAAGGGAGCAGCATGTTTGCTAGGGCAGGACAGGATTTCTAGTTCAGTTTCTTGTCCAGAATCATACGTGGGAAGGTCTGTTACATGATCCTCAGGAGGTGCCTTTAGAGGGCTTGTTCCTCCCAAGTGGCTTATGAACATGCTGAGGGAAATGAGGAGTATTGTGAGGTGACACCCCTCCAGTCGTGGCCTGAAGGAGGGGCTGTGTGTTTGCAGCTGGATGTTACTGTGCCCTGTTACTGACTGTGCTCCCTGACTTGTTGGAGGTGCTCGGAGGGCTGTGAGATGGAGAGAGCTGTTCTCTAGTGTGCGCTGCTGTACAGCTGTTCAGAGCTAGGCATGCTGCAGTGCATCAGAAAACACAGAGTGCAGGCAACTCCTGCTGACCTGAGCCATACCAAGAGTCAGGATGTGACAAACTAGTGCAAGTCCCCTGAATTGGCACAGCACTAACCAGAGCTGTGAAACACAAGGAAGCTGCTCTCTTTGCATCCTAGGTGAATTGGTAGAAAGAGTGTTGTTAAGGCTGCATTCTGTCTTTCAAGGCTAATTCTGGTTGCTTCTGCTTCCCTAAAAATCATCTAATATTTATTGCAGCTTACTCCAGAGCTTTCTGAAAAAGGCAAATACTATCTTTCTTGCTTTTTTAAGTTTTGTGCCTCTACTGACTGTCTCTGGTCGAGAGTATAGATTGCACTGACAGTTAGTTGAAGTGTGAGCTAGAGAAAAGAAGTAGGGTGCTGGCATTAATAGCTCTTTTCAGGGCTGTGCACAGCACTGCCTCAAAGGATACAGGCATTCTGATTTCTCTGGCAATATTAATCTTCCACTGAAACATATCCATGTGATGAGAAGAGGTGCTGCTGCAAGTAATGTGTGTGTGTGTTTACAAAGGCAAGGTTGCACGTAATGATATATCTTTGGCATGCTTTTCAGTAGGAACACCTTAACATTTTGGGAGAGAAAGAGAGGTTTCTGTCTCCCTCCTAAAACCATCAGAGCTGCTCTAAGCTATGCTTGGAGGCAGAGAAAAGGCAGGGGTCCCACAAAGAGAATGCCTGTGTGGCTGCTGGGCTCTAGGTGAGCTGAAGCACACGAGCAGGGCAGTGGGTGGTGTCACACACTGACTGCAGCACAGTCTCTGGTTTGTTTCCCTTTCACATGCTACCTGCACAGCAGGAGTGATGGATGATCATCATGTCCAAATGAGGTTTGCACAGCATGGAGTTGTAATAGATGCAGCTCTTCACCTTCTCACAGTGAAGAAAGTAACTGAAAAGAGATGATTTTTAAAGGTACTGGCTAGTCTCTCCTTAGTAAAAGGAGAAAAATTTTCCATTTCTAGTGATCAGAAATCTTAGAATGATTATGGGTTGACGATGCTGTTGTTTTGTTTTTCATGTTGTTTTTAGTTATCTGTCATGTTTTACTTTGTGAAATTAAAGGAAAGCATCTCTGCAGGAAGATAGACTTTCTCTTTGCATACATGCTCAAGGAAGTTTTGCTGGCCCCACCTTTCCTCTCTACCCTTCTCTAGGTAGTTGGTTAGTAACAGGCAATAGTTTAGGTAGGAAGAGGAATTTATTTTTCATGTAATTGAGAGCAGTCATTGCATTAAATGAATTAAGTGCCTATTATAGCCTGCTCCTGCTCTTCATTCTGTTTTGAGAAAATGCTTTGATTTCTGTCAGAAATCATATTTTCATTTTTTTTCTTCCTGTTCCTATTCATTAACTCCAGTACATTTTGTGCATCCCTACAGCCTATTTCCCAGTACTTTCAGCTGTCTTTTCCACAATGTGGAAGAAAACAGTCCTCAGCCCTGTGCAACTCCAGTGGGATTTGTGCTGCCTTTCTGAGGAAAAGATCCTTTCCTTACAATACTGGTGAATTTATAGGAAGCAAATTCTCTGAGACCTTGATTTTAAATGTTCTTGGCAGGCTTTGTTGGATTAGGTGTTGTGCTCATGCTGTAAAATTTTTGAAAGCTGTCATATAACTGAAAATAGAGCAAATTTCTCCTCCCCTTTCTAATGGTTAAAGGGAGCACAAAGCTCCTTCACAAGTGTCAGAGGCTGAAGTACCTTGTCAGTGTTGATGCTGAATCAGTCCATTGGTACAGCAGACTAGCAGCTATTTTTTCAGAGAAAAGAATTGGATACTCCTAAAATAGCTCATTTCTCCATGAGGAGCCCTGTGCAAATTGCTCTTGGTGCATCTGCAGCTACTCTGGGGTATTAAGGTCCTGAAGCATGGGCAAAACAATATTAGAGAGCAGCACTGCTTCTCTAATGGGAATTTCCATCAGAGGCCGTTCCCTGGAACAGTGCCAGATGCAGATGAGCCCTCATTGTATCACTGCACTCATTGGTTGTAAGCTCCCAAAATAACTTTTATCACCTGATACAGAATACTTGCCTGGCTTCATTCATTTTTATTGACTTAGATTTTCATTTGTTGAATTGCTGAACCTTGAGACTGAAGATCACCTCAGATGATCGCAGAGCAGAATATTTTTATTTCATAATGAAATATTTTTATTTCTCTGTGACATACCCAGGGAAGAACATTTGTTTTCCACATTCTCCTCCAGACATCCAGCATTTCTTCACAGTCAGTAAAACAAACTTTTCCTGTGCTTTAAATCCAAGGATGTGGTGCCTTCTCTCTTTTTTCTTTTCTTTGTGAAAAAGATGGGATATATCCTAAAGGCTGAGAGAGTTCTGTAGAAAGAAAAGCATCATTCCCTTAATCGCCTTGACTTATGCAGCATCCCTACTTGTTTCAACTTCTAGCCCCCAAACCTTCAAGACTCAAAAAAGGAAATTTGCTAACTGTAGTTCTGTTGCCAGTGGCTTGTGCTTTCCTTAGATCCTGTGCTAGGGAAAACCACCTAGAAAGGTAGCATATTGCCCTTCAAATAACTGAATAGCTATAGCTGACTCTTCAGGTAATGCTTTAACCAATAGAGAAATTCAACAGCAAGATACTGTTGTTAGAAATCTAGTTATAAAGAGGAGATGACAACAAAAAGAAAGGAGGCAGAGAAGTTTATTATTTATCAAACTTACCATTGGTTATTTCTGTGCATGTGTCTCCTTTCCATTGGTAAAACATACTACATTTGTATGCACTACAAAGCAGTCAAAGCTCTCAAAAAGTTTTGTGAAATCTCTAATTTCATTGGGTAGCCTCCCAATGATGCAGGAGAATAGTCTCTGCTCTATTGAAAACTTGGAAGTTGCCATCTGTGGCTGAAATTAGCAAGTGGAACTCTGCTTTCCACATTCCTGGATGAAGAGTTGAGGCAAGGTGCTTTTCTTTCTTTTCCATTTGGTCCATATTAAAATTCCCAACTGATACAGCCCTGGAAATGCTTTATCTTGGCTTATAAGACACAAAGTGCAAATCTGAAATGTATGGAAATACAGAGCCAAGGAAGTGGCAGGTAGCACTAGTGCATGCACCTGGATCTGTGTGGGGAAAACCCCAAGAACCTGTTTAATCTGATTCTAGGTCCGGCTCTGGGTCTCTTCCTCCGTCTTTGTTGCTGCCAATAGTTTGTGGACCGCAGTTTGAGAAGCTCTGCACCAATGAGTATTCCTGGCCTGGTGCACTGGTGATACTGCCAACATTACTCACATTTATTTAGAAGGAGAGGAAGTAATGAAAATGAGAAATCCCTCATTGCTGGCATCATTTTACTTCCTTGCACTCCAGCAGCACAGGTTGTCTTGTAAGAACTATGCAAATGTTTATAATGTGTGGAAGACTGACTGCACAGGACAGCTGGGGAAGAGAACAGCTTGGTCTGAAAATGCACCATGGGGCACTGGATTGTGTTCAAGTGATCCTGGCCCAATTTGGCCAGAGGGTAAAGCTAGAGGGGTGTCTCTTCATTTCACTGTACCTTGTTGGGAGACCATCTGACATTATTAGCTTGAGAAGAGCTGTTGGCTGGAAGGTGGAGAATTCTGTAAGAGAAGCAGCTGATTTCATTGAAGTGGATTCCTTTTCCTTCATCTGCATCCTCCATCAGTCAGCTGAATGAGATTGATGGTTAAAACAGCCAGAAGCTCTACGGATTGTTAGTGGCTGAGGACAGCAATCATTTTGTGGTTATACTTGGCTGCAGTCTTAAGTTAGTGGAAAAAGAATTACCAATACAGCAGTAAGCCATTTTGAAAGCAGGTCCCCCATTTCATCATCATTATGTGCAGATATTCTTCTCTGATGGGCAAGGGCTGCA